CCGAAGGGCTCATGCGATGTGGCTGAAGCAGCACGGACGTTATTAGCGGACGCGTTAGCCCGCCACCCCTACCCTCCCATGCCCCGAATCAGCCTGGATAATCCTGAGAAACGCACGACGGCAAACGATCCGTTAGCAAAATCATGTACAGGCGTGCCACAGCTGTGCTTCACCATAGACATGTCTCGGGAGTAGATCCGATTCTGAGGCAATGAGGCAAGACACGACCCTTTCTTGGCGGTTGAGATACCGACACGGCTACCCGCACACCACGGGCAGGCTTCTGTTCTGAATTGAATTTAGAACCACCACCCCTGACATGTGAACCTTGCCCTGGTGAAAGCTTTGTTGCAGGTTTCGGGGAGGTTGGAGCAGAGCTCGCTCTGATGTGGAATCAGTCGAACCACAAACCCTAAACCCTAATTCCTTAACCCTAGATATCAATGGATGTGCCTCGAGTCGGCTGGCCACATGTGTGCCCTGACTGACTTCTGTCACAAAGACCAGAGCTCTAGAAGCAGTCTCAGTACCATTTTGCTCGAGAGCAGAGGCGATCTGTAGCAGCACTTTTCCAGTCTGTGAAAGTTGCCTGGCTGGGGGTTGTACTCTCAATATACGGTGACGACTACGGGCGCCCCCTACGCAACCACCATCTTGAGCCACGTGCTTTCCCAACAAGGGCCCAAACACCAGCCCATTTCCTACAACCCATGAAGTGACTTCCGTGAGAATGTTCTCCCGCAGTCCAACATTCAGCCGGGAAGCTTATCGCGCAGATTGGGGTCGAACCCAGCCTGCAACAGTCTCAGCAGCCCTTCGCAGAAGCCGCTCCGCGCTGCAACGTGCAGCGCCGACTTGCCGTCTCCATCGCCACCCATTCCCGCGCCCTGTGAGAGGGCAGCATCCAAGTCTGCCTGGCGTGCTTAGTGCGCTTGAAGGATGTCGCTGAAACTCTTCAGTTTTCAAAACCGTTGCTTTGCAGGTTCTCTGTGGGGATTCGGAGTCTTGCGTTGGGGAGCCTCAGAATGGAAAGAAAAGCAAACCTCACAGCTTGTGTTTCTCAGTTCTCTTTACTTCACTTTCGGGACCTGGGCGGCGCTTCGCAGTGCTGCAGAAACACAGTGTAGGCAGAATCTCTGGAATTCGTCCTGTGAATAACTCCCACATGAATCGCCCTTTCTTCTTGGGTTTTCTCAAGCCGAGCACCCAAGCCATCCAGCCCTTGAAACCACCGAGGTGCCATATTGCAGTGATGACACGCTTTGCGCAGCCTGTCGTCTGCCCGTGAGGCCAATCTGACTTGCCATCCTTGAGCACGGGGCTTCGGCTACGATTTGCCAGGGGTATTGTGAGCTTGGTGACAGGACAAGCAGTCATGTAAAACCGATCGAGGTTGGGACACCCGGATGGTCAAGTGCACTACATGCCTAAACGCGGGCAGCGCCACCCGAATCACTCATGAGTGGACTACGTCAAGACGAATGTCTGGGAAATCAATTGCATCCAGCAGCTGTTGGTCGGTAGCTCTGACAACAGATGTGCCTGCGCAGTGGCAGTGGTGCCGGGGCGCCAGGGGCAGGGCATGTCTTAGAAAGTGGAGCAACGGTATGTCAGATTCCTTGTTGGTCAGGCTGAGCCTGCTGAGGATCTGGTGTATGTGAATGAAATCTACCATTCTCAAGACTAGGACCAGGGTTGGCACCGGCAGTCGAGAGAAACGCAAGAAGATGACCTTTCATTGGAAGGCCCAGAAGATCTTTCTGGAACTCTTGGCTTCCTGGCACAGGGCGCTTTAGCCTTGCCCCACTTGTCAAGTGCACCTGCGTCCACGGCGCCGGGGGCGGTGAGCCCCAGGCCCTGCGATGTGGCAAGCGTTTCTTGCTGCGGCCCGGCACAGGATTACCCCACTGTTCACCAGGCAGAAGATGTTGATGAAGCTGATGACGACACTGCATGGTGTGAGATGTGAACTGCAACACAGCGAGGTGGGGGGAGGTCGACGTTGAAAGGAGCGGCGGGCTGGCGCACGAAGTCGGCTGCCGTGGCATCTCGGCCTTGCCAGGACCCCCACCGCTGTAACGGAAAAGGTTCAAGCCACTTTGAAGCCGACCCGCCCCGAAAACAGATGTGCCAGCTACCAGACTGCTTGACTCTTGCAAAACTCAGTACTGAAAGAGTCTGTACATTTCTAGGGAAACTGGATGAGGTTTGAAACATGAACCTTGAATGTGAGTCTCTCTCCGTCCTCAGCAAAGCCAGCGGTGCTTCGCGTGGTGTCAAGAAGCAACGCCCCTCAACCACCCCGCTGTCAGACGTGTGCACCCGAACGCCTGGCAAGCAGCAACGTTGTGAGCCATGCTCGCCCCAGTTGATGGTGGCTGAGTCGGCACCGGTACCTCCGAGTCTCGTGCGCTTGACAAGCCTGGCTTTCAGAACTCAACGGCGTGAGAATACCCAAAAATCCCAAAACCCCAGCCCAAAATATGCCCTGCCGGCCCCCCGTCCCTTCCCAAATGTGGAGCTGCGGATCCGGAAAGCGAAGGACAATGGCTGGTGACTGTGGGCTTCACGGCACATTCCTTCATCCCGTGATTCTCCCACAATCCTGAAGACTTCCACCAACTAGGTCACAAAGGGCCGAGACACGTGCATGTGCTCCGAAGAGTAAGCATCATGGGGTGCGAAGCGCGCTTCATCAGGACCTCTACCTCCATCCTGACGTGAGGTCTCCGGCTAAAGAAATGCAGATCGACCCAACGTTAGCAAGACCAGCGCTGCAAACTCCTAGAATCCTAGAATACGTTGGTTCAGGAGGCTGAAAGCTTCAAGTCGCGGGTCAGCTCAGAAGCAAGCCGGTCGTGACTTGGTCCTGTGTGTCTCGGTGTCAGCATGGTATCCCTTTATCTATGCTAGCACCCTACAGAACTAAGGATGCACAGTCAATGACGCCAAGAAGCTGTTGCAAATCGGCGTGGTGACATCTGCGTCTGCGTCGAAGGATAACGTACAGGTGCTGAGCCTGTACTCCTCGGCTTTTCTCTCGCCCGAAGTCTGAAGGCATTCGAATCGAAGGCCAGAACCCATGCTCCAGAGACCTCATAGGCCGGTCGCCACGGACGGTGTGTGAGACTCAGAAAGCACCCTTGGCCTCCTTTGTGCAGCTTCGTTTCAAGCTGGACCCCGAGAACGGCATTGGCTGTGCACCGTCGGGGTGCCGCGCTGCCTCTGGGTCGGGCCCGTCGGGCCGGTCGGGGTCGAGGAGTCGAAGGCTGCTGCCCAAGGATGTGGAATTTTTCGGAACCTTCGGCCTGAGCTCCTCGGGGCACGGCAGAAGAGGCCGCGGCCGCAGCGCCTGCAGGCTTTGCCTGGAAGTCAGAGTGTACGCAGCTCCTTGCAAACCCAAACTTGAACAGCCCAGCTCGGGGGTTTACAGGCTGGGTCGAGCGCACCGGCACCTTCGTCCACGGCGCCGGGGGCGGTGAGCCCCAGGCCCTGAGCCAAGGAGGTTCAGACAGCGCACGCAACTGTCAGAACTCTGACATGTTGATATTGATTGCCTTTCACTCGCGACCGCGATGTGACAAGCGTTTTTGCTCCGGCGCGGCACAGGATTACCCTACCGTTCAGCAGGCAGAAGATGTTGCTGAAGCTGATGACGACACTGCATGGTGTGAGATGTGAACACAGCGAGGTGGTGGCGAGGTCCCAAGTCCCAGCATTGAAAGAAGCGGCGGGCTTGCGCACGAAGTCGGCTGCTGCGGCATCGGCCCCTGCAGAAAGCTCTCGGCCTTGCCAGGTTCAAGCCACTTTGAAGACGACTTTCCGAGGACCGGTGTTAGCCGGCAGGTCCTCAGAAACCTGAATTGGGTCCTTTTGTAAACATGAGTCTCCTTATCCTCAGCAATTCGCGTCACTTGTGCTGCTGCCAGTGCCTAACAATGGACACATCGCTTCTGCCCCTAAACCAAGGTTTGTGACGCCCGAATGCTCCCACTTCGCCTGGCGAGCGGCGGAATCGTGCGCCATGCTGGCCCCAGTCGGCGTTGTCTGAAACGCCGCTGGTGCCTTCGAATCTCACGGGCTTGCAAGAGCGGGTGTGGTTCAGGATGCAAGGATCCGGGGGGAGGGGGGTCACCGAAATTCCCCGACCCAGCTGCGGGTTTGAAAAGAAGAGTCTTAGCTAAGTCTTAGTTTGCGCGACAAGCAACATATCTAAATCCGGCGTTTCTCCTACTCCCCCAAGCCTGAGGACCCCCTACCCGCGAAACAAGTCACAGCGGGCCGACACCTGCATGCGCTCTGAAGAATCTGAATCACTGGGTGCGAAAAGCTCTTCATCAGGATATCCACCTCCGTCCTGACGCAAGCTCTCTGGGTGACCAGGCGTAGACCAACCCACCGGGTCTCAAACTTCTAGATGCTCAGCTAAAGATTAATCACTTCCCCTTATTTTTAAACACCCCCTAATAATAAAAACACATTGGGGCGAATCCTCCCGAAATCAAGTCTCTCTCTCTCTCTCCTCTCTCTCCCTCTCTCTCTCTCTCTCTCTCTCTCTCTCTCTCTCTCAACCACGTAAGAGGGACAGAGCGCAAGCCCTCCAGCCCCCCCCGCGAACGCGCACCTGCTTGTCCTGGCAGGGTTTGTCGGCTCCACGCCCCTGATGGCTTGGCTGTGCGAAGATCAGGCGCAGCAGGTTCGTAGTGCATCCCTCCATGAAAGCTTTGCTACGGGGCGTGAGGCACCGGCAGTCCCGATGCCCCGCGCTCCAGGCACTCTTTCTTTCGGCAGGGTTATGGACAAGGGGAACTCCCCTTGCCCAGGCACTCTCTCTCTGTCTCTCTCTGTGTCTCTTTCTCTTTTTCTATCTCTCTATCTCGCCTCCTATGTAACAAGAGCTGAGAGAAGAAAGCCTGCTGGAATGTGGGCTGCATGAGTCTCGCAATGCTGCGCACATTCGCGAGCACATGGCTCACGGCTTCATTCCGAGACTGTCTGCTGTGGAATGCTTACGGGTACTGGGCTGGCAAAACCAGGATCGGACCAAAGCCCCAAGTTAAATGAAAACATCTAATCTACTCGAAACTGCGGCTTTTTCTCGAGCATGTGCTGAGGGATGTGCTGCCAAGATGTGGTTCGACCTCATGGGGGCTTGGGACTTGGACAGAGGCTGCATGATTGCAGACTTGCTATGCAACAAACAAGCTCTTAGTGCTGGAGAAGCCCGACTGAGCCAAACTCCACGATGAAATTCCTCGCCTCTCTCTGCTCACTGGGCGACTTCACTCCATCGCTGGATGCTTTCCCATACGAGTGTTCTAGTGAATACGTCTGCATAGCTTTCCACCAGCTCTGATCCACCAGCCCAAGCCGAAACCCTAAAGCCCCACATCGCTGGCGACTCTATAATTCAAGAGCTCAATCTACGAGTCACTTTCCCCGCTTCCCTCGCCCTGCGAGCGAGGACAATGCCTTCGGTTTGCCTGGCGGCTTCTGACACGAACTCTCGCGCTTTGCTGCCTTTCTTGCATCGGCGGAGTCTAAAATAGTCGAAGTTCCGAAAGACAGTTTTCCAAAGAGAGTTTCCGGTGCGGAGGGAGCACATCACTTTCGAGGCAGCCATGTGGAGTTGGTCAGGCTTCTATCTGATCGGGAGTGCCCCTGAAAGGTGGCCTCTTATCATCTCTTATTTCTCTCGCCGCTGCAGATCTGAGCTGGGGTAGCAAAACTCGAAGGAATGAAGGAGACAGTGAGACTGAAGATCCCGGCCCGCACACTATGATAATCACACAGAAACACTACCAACAGCAGCCGCTCATCCTGTATCACAAAGAGATCTTGCAGACCGGGTGCACCGAGAGGCTTACGGCAATTTCTTCAAACTGCCAGGCGCTGGAGTCTCAGTGTGTGAAAGGGAAAACTTCGTCCATGGCATGCGATGAACCTGAACACATTTTTCGCTTGCCACCGTACCAGCATCACGGCTTTCTTGCAAAAAAACTAGCGGCCCGAGCAGTTCAAGAAGCCAGGGCGGCCTCGCCTGAGGAACCGTCTGCAAGCCAAGCTTCACTTCCACTTCTTACAGATGCAATAGTTCCTTTGCACCGTGACCCTGGGAGCCGTGTGAGCGGTTCGTGGACTGTCTCGAAGGCGAACGGTGGTGGTGGTGGTGGTGGTGGTGGTGTCCGACTGCGCCTAGTGTTGCCATGAAGGACGCCTTCTCTGACTCGTGCCGGTTGTTGACCATGTCCGCGAAGCGTCCGGCACGGGTTGCGATATCGTGCATCTTGTCTTCCGCTAAGGTTTTGTCCGTGACAAAGATGTCCTCCGCATCCATGTGTTCCTGAGTTTGGACCAATCTTGCCATGCGGCTTAGGCTTAGAAGGCAGTACCAGGGAATCCAGCTGTGGTCTTGGAGCAGCACTTGAGACTCTTAGGTTCTGCCTGTTGCCGCTGCGGCTTTGCGCGTGCTAGCGGGGTCTTCCCTAAGCATCATCCGTGCAGTTGATAAACCGTTTCTTGCCATCAAGCCACCAAATTCATTCAGGGACAGGTGTAGGCATTGCAGGGCAGACGTCCAGCTAAGCACTAAAGGGAAGAAGAAAGGCAGAGGTGTCAGGCCAAAGGCATGTCTCAAACAGAAAACACGGTGCCCATCTTGCAGCTTGATGAGACGTTGTTGTACTACTGCTCCCAAGATGGGCGACTGGACGTTTTCACAGAGTAACAATGAATGTCAGACTGCTTTTTTCAGGATTCATTCTGGCAGCTGTCGCTGCATGCAAGCCTCACTGCATGCAAACCCCATGACTGCGCAGTAGCCTGCCGAGCAACTTCTACATTTTGACTATTAAATGTGCACAGCCTCTGGATGGTTCTCCTTCGTTTTGCTCGGCCAATATGCTCGGCTGTTATGCACATCAGAGCTCTTGAATCACATTCAACAAAGCGTGCGAGAACGTGGAGCGAGCCAGGCATGCAGTTGCTGGCGTAGGCCGTGGGGCTGGTGGCACACGGCCGGGGCAGATGACACGTATACCCATCCGCTTCGACCGCACAGTATTGCAGCGACGCCCTATGTGACACTCATTGTCGCAGCCATAGCCATAGCCCTTCGAGTTCACAACGCATGTGGACATCCGTGAAAATCATGGATCTTTGTCTCTGAGCAGAGCACCAGACAGGCGTCGCACAGCCTTCAGTGGCGCGTGCTACATACGCACATGCCGAACACAACGACGAACAAGGCAATCGGGTGACCCGCTGCTCCTGTGTCTGCACTTTTTGGGACCCTTGAAACTAGTGCAACTTCGCGTTTCGCCGTCAATTTCACAAACATCAGAAATCCTCGAACAACCATTGCACGATAAACTTCAAAACCTTTTGGACAACGAGAAACCGCAGAAACCGAAGAAGGTCCGGGCGGAAGCTCAGCAAGCTTTTCGCCAGTATACGATCTCTCGAATGACAACACGCAAACGCACACACATACGAGCCGGCGCCGCCCACCTTCCTCTCTGGACTCAGTCACCTGTCAGCCGCTCACCTTCCTATAATTGCCTATAGTTATAGTGTGCAAGTGTACAACGTTCCCAGCAAACCCGGCCGAAGTCTTTACCAGTTAAACCTTGTGGAGCGTCGATCTCGCCGATGACCAGTATTCCGTAGATTTGCAAATTCTGCCATAGCGGATTTCCATGCTGTTTGACGAGGCTGCAGAACTTTTCGCAGTTGATCCCGTTGTAATATGCTGTGGTACCACCATTCGCGGTTAGGCGCCCGCGATGAAGCCATTCCGCCCACAGGCATGGCAGGCACAACACTTGGCCTGGAGAGACAAACTCTGCTTCGAAGGTGGCGAATTGCCTGGCAATGTAGCCCATATTGCCTTAGCTTTCTCAGAATCAGTCATCCTGGCCATTGAGGTCCCAAACCAAGTTCGGGTTGCTAGCTGTGGTGAGCCTTGTGGAGCCAAAGCAATTGCAGGGTCCTGCGCTGAACATCTGAACTGAATGGGGGACCCAGAAACCTTGGTCCAGAAGGTAGACCTCCGTGCACTCCGTGCCGGGCATGAAGGCATCGTTCCCAGGAGAGGCCACATGCTCGACCATTGCGAGATGACAGATTTGCCGGTGGATCAAGAGATCCTCAGCTCAGGTTGGGTTTCCTCGAAGCATTACTACCAGTCATCACTCCTGCAAAGCCCAAGGGTCATCCTCATGGCTCCAGTGATCCCAGATACGCAAAGACAAGAGAGAGCTCATGAACATCTCTTCATGGAGGACGACCTCGGGGCATTCTGCAGGCCGAAAAGACATCGTTCTGCCGACGTTGAGCCTGCCTTCAAGTGCTCGGGAACGCCTCCCAAGAGAGTGACCTCTGTCTCCTTGAGGCGGATGTCATACATTCCCTGCTTCTTCAGTGCGTCATTGATCTTTGCATAAGTTTCGGTCGAAAGGTTCCTGAGAACCGTAGCCACTCCGGACTCCAGTGCGACCAAACTCTGACAAGACAGCCTTTCAAAATTGCACGTGACAAGCTGAAGCCAAGGCAAGTTGCCGTTCGTTGAAAAAACGCACCAAGGAGGAGTGGTGCTTAAACTGCTCGGACCTCGAAGCCCTCAAGGTACTCACGGTTACAGTAATCGAGCTGATGAAAGAGGAGAACGTCCCCATGGCCAGAAGGATGACCCACACTGCGAAGAACCTGGCAGGGCTCTGGTTATGCAAACTCAGTATGGCTTGCGCCGTTCTTGCTTAGCGTTTGCGGGCAGAGTTCATGCTGGTTCAGCAGCTCAACTTGGTTGCTGAAAGCACCAGTAACGCTTTGCATGCTATGCTCTCAAAGGCACCTCTCCACGAAGTTGACCGGAGCGACATTGTTCGTTGCAGGTGTGAACTGAGTAAGTGCCCAGTGGATTGAAGTGGCCTCTCTTTTCTTATTATATCGGCCCAAAAAAAGTTTAAACTTTCCAACACAGGCCAAATATGTAAACAGTTTTCCCATTTTGATGTCTGAGTGACATAGGAGTCCGCTAGAGACGCATCCGCGATGCCTGCGTTGAGCAGCCAACTGCTGCCATCTTCGAGAGTCCAGCGCCCCAAACCGTACCAGCAACATGCGATGATGTGGTTCACGGCCAAGATCATCATCAGCCCGGACACGACCCGCATGACCATGAAGGCGTAGGTGGAAAGGAAACTGTTGGCGAGTTTCGTCAACTCCCGCTGCAGCTTTGCCACACGCAAAAGCCGTAGCAGCCGCAAGAGCCGCAAGGTACGCAGGTATCGAGCCGATCGCGCCGGCGCGGGTGCTCGGTCTTGCACCAGCTCCGCGATGAGCAGTGCTGCATCGATGGAGATTACCATCAGGTCGATACCGAACCAGGACCGCCAATACCTTTTGAGCAGCTCCCGTGGACGCAACTCGAGATGTCCGTCAATCTCCACGCCGAAGATTGCATGAAGCGGCATATCAAGGATCCAATATCCGAAAGTAAACCTACCCACCACCAAGAGCAAAGAGATCATATCTTCATCGTCGAAGAGCTCCAAAGGGATGGTAATCATATCCCAGACGATGAACAAGACACCGAGGAGAGACCAAGTAATCTGAAGCTTACTGCTTGGCTTTCTCACCAGTGGCTGAAGGCACGAGCCATCCATGGCTGCATCTTTCATTCGGGGCGTCTGGTTCACTGGTGTTGAGGACTTGAAGGTTTGGGTCTTCTCGCGCTTCAACGCACGCTGCTGCAGAGCAGTCTTCCACTGAGGGCGGATGGTCCTGAGCGACTTGCTGGGTCCCTATCAGGCTTTCGACGAAACTTCCGTGTGTTCCTGAGCTATCCGAAACCAAACCTCACCAACAGCCACAATATTACCCATCAACAGGCGAGTTGCAGTATGTCTTTGACATAAGATGCGACTTCTTCGTCCTCGCTGTCAGACTTCTCAACGTCGGTTGTGTTCATCAGCTTGGAGGTAAGCTTTTCCCAATTGCTTACGACTGGTGCGGGTTCCAAGCCCAAGCCCGGTGAAGAGGAGCTTGGATAAGTCGAGGGGAGATCAAGCTGAAGGGATCCCGGATCGATCTTCGCTCGGCTACTCGTGTTGCTGATGAACCCACTAGCGGAACGTGAGAGTGGCCGAGGCTTGATAAGCTGATGCGTGTCTGGCACCACTTGCTCGGAGGACCTCTCGTTTGCATATTGCATGTCAACCTGGTACTTTTCCACCAACTTCTCATGCCTCGGTGAAGCGTCTGTCCGGCACTCATGACAACTTGGGAAGGGCCACAACCTGAATTGCATGGCCAGGACACAGCTTCTCAAGCTCTTGCTTCAAAAAAAGCTCGTACTCACCGTACTCTGCCATGGCGCCAGACTGCGGCCAAGGTCTCACAATTGAGAGCTGCAGCTCCAAACAGCGACGGACAGCATCGCAGCGGGAAGACGCACATCCAAACCCATAAAATGGCACAGACTAGGGGGAAGCCAAAAGGCACTCCCAACGACAAGCAACAAACTGGTCGACACAGGCAGATCCGCAGATCTGTGGTGCAGGACTCGGACTGACTCGAACGGGATGACCCTTTCCGCAGACGGGACCAGGCTCAGCCACATCAGGAGTGAAATCGACTTCACCGATTCCGGAGTCCATGGAGTAAACGCAGTAACAAGACAAGGTCGCTGAGGCCGGAAAGCTTCTTCCGTTCTATCTTGCGCCGTTGCTGTCAGTTTCGAGAAAACTCGTGGGGGGTGTGGTTTGTCTTCAGTTTCTGCAGCCTGCTTCTTCGCAGATAGGGGGAAGTGCCGTTCATGATGCCGGCAGCTGGTCTAACACTTAGCCTTGTGCTCGACTTCGACCAAACGAGACCAACATTTGACCGTTTGACCTAAATCATCTCATTCAGCTGGTGCTCACGAATCATCACCTGTTGTTTGAAGAAGGCATCAGTGATGCAAATCTTACCGCGAGCACCGCAGTGCGCCGCAGTGTGCCACTCGGACACGGCTTCTTTCGCTCACACGTGGATAGTCTCACCGTGGTCCGATGTCAGCGCGTGGAGCAGGCTGAACGCCCAAAGGAAGGCGGAGGCCACGAACTCGGTTTGCAACAGACACTCCGAGACCACAAAAAATCTGCTCGGGTAGGCAATGCGTATGCATATCTTCTAGGGCCTGACTCTACAATCCTCGCTTGCATCTCCTTGCGCCAGACATGTTAAAATCAAATCCCATAAGCCTCCCGCGAACATCCGCCGGAAGAGCGGCTGCTTGAAAAGCAGGGCGAGCAGCCTCCTGTCTTGCCACAGCATGCTAGATCCTGAAAGCATGTGAATCCGGCTGAGCTCAGGGGGGGAAACGATCCAGCGAGGCAATGGACCAAGCTTGGTCCCGCACAGGATCGGTTCATCCAGAAGCCGCAGGCATGGATGCTGACAGCACATTCGCAGCAAGAACAAAGTTGCATGCGAAGCTGTCCCGCCTGTGCGGACAAATCGCCGAAGGCTTGTGCAATTGCTGTGTGCGCCTGGATCGAAGAAGACGGGGAAGACAACAACCCAAGACGGAAAGCTGCATCCATGGACCCGTTGCCATCCTTACTCTCCTCTACTCCTTCCATGACAAGGGCGATCATCACGACGACGACGATGACAATGAATGCAGCAAGAGTGCGAAGATGGCTTCCTCACACCTCGGTCTACACATTGCACAAAACCTGGTGGAAAAGGAGTGATGACCCCATTGGCATCGTCGCCATTGGCTGACCATGCTGCCGTTTCCAACTGCAACACCCAGCCATGCTCACAACCGCCGACTTGCCCCTTCCGATTTTGGAAAGCCGGGCCGAGGTGAGACAATCTGCCCTATCTCTCGAGAGGAGTTCGCAGCCGGAGGCTAAGCGACTTGACCTGCAATCCACCTTCGTTTTGGGTAGTCGCCATAGTGCTCTGTTGGGTCATCTGAGAACTCCCGCAAGCACTGAGGTTCGAGATCGGAATGATCACTAGTCCCTCTGATTCGGAGGTCTCGGAAAAAAACAACGGCAGGCCTTGTCACTTGTGTGCACAAGGGTGTGTGTGTGTGTGGTGGTCCGTCAATACACATCTGCCTTGTCCCTCTGTCTCTAGTCCAGCTATCTTATGCATGTGCCCCCGCCCCCCCGCGCGCGCGACATATGCCATGTAGGAAGGGAGCCCTGAAAGATCAGGACCTCGTTCTGATGGTGCCTGTCCCCTCCCCTCTTGCCCCTGCCACGATCGCACCGAAAGCACGAAGTGTCGATCACCAGTCCTATCCTTGTGGACGGGAAATGTAAGGATGGCCCACAGATTAGAATCCAGTGACTAAGCGACCGACCAGTTTGTGTGGCTTGGAAAGGTCCGGGAAGGGCTCTTGCGTGGGTGACGCATGGTGATGCCAGCTAGAATCAGGAATGGAAACAAGACTGTGCACTACTTACCGACAGCTGCCGGGAGTGTCATGAATCGCTTCGAAATGCCATGTGCTATGACAGCCTTCGCTCGGGAACTATGCTCCATGATGTTCCATGTAGTGGATCTGCAAGGCTTCCAGCTTGGATCTGCCAGGTGTTCTCGCCTCAAGCATGACGTCTCCAGCATCGCTGACCTCAGCACTCGCAAATTTTCGGAGCTGTATTCAGAATTCCCTTCCACTCGCTCTTAACTCCAAGCCCTAAGTCCTAAGTCGCGCCGAGCAGCTCCCGAGCTGGCTTTGACCAGAAGCCGGCGCTCCAGGGCACCGTTTTCGGCCTTCCACTGGCTTCATCAAAAGCTAAGACCTTCATAAAGAGACTGCACATGGGCCACTTCCAATTAGGAGCAAACCGGATCTCCTGCTGCATGGCACCGTTTCAACGAACACCGCGGGGGCGGCAGGGCAGCATCCGAACCGATGAAGCAGGAAAGCGGCGCAAGAATGCGGAAGCGGAAGCGCTGAAGCAATGCGCAAATGGGTGCCATGCCGCCTGCAGCGGCCTGGGATGAAACTGCCCAGCCCTTGGCAGCGAAAAGAGCACCCGAACGCAGGAAGCACGATTGGGCCAAAACTGAGACCCGCAAAGGAGCAGCAATAAACGAGCTGGGTGACGGAGGTTTGGGCAGTTTGCTGTGTTTCCTGCGTGTCTTCCGTGAAGTGGCGCCTTCAAAAGTCAAGCAGGAAGAGAGTTGCGAGGCCTGCTGCCTCTACATTTGGGAGGTCGAGTAGAATAAAGAGCAATGTCATAATAATCATGATAATAACATATGATATGAGATCAGCCCAACAGGATTGGCTAAGGATTTCGTTTAGCACTCGCGCGTGCGACGAGGTCAGGCGAGGTTTAGGGCAACAAACTGGGCACTTCGGGCTCATTTCGAGCCTCTTCCAGAAAGGGTTTCGTTACTTCGCTTAGACACGAAAACGTTGAAGCAACTTTGCAAAACAACGTCTCCCCAACCTGCCTGCAGGTCCTGTACCCGTCGCTCTTTCGCCTCGCCGGCTCTTCGCAGGTATGCCACCTGTGCAGATACTGAAAGCAAGGTTTAGTTTAGCGCTCGGTGCGTACTGAGGGGTTGGGGAAGTGACTCAGAAACCACAAAGCTCCCGAAAAACGCTGGGCCATCATGGTGGCGCCTCGTCCAAGAGCTCTTGCTCTTTTTGGCTCACTTCACGCTGAAGTCGCTCCAAAAAGTTTGCCTGCAGGGCACTGCGATTTGCAAGAGTCCAATTGCACATACTTGCGGGCTGATGGGAGATTCCCCACTGCAAAAGACTCAAGGAGCCAGCGACCGTGTGGACAGTATGAATCTACAGACTTAGGCAATCGGAGGCTGGCACCGCAGGCAAATTGGGTGCGCTGCAAAACATCATGCCCAGCACGTCTCGGACAAAAATTTCGGCCACATATCGTACAAGAAGGAGTGTTAGTCTTCCCCGGCATTTCGAGATTTGCTCCCTGTCTTCGTTTGATCTTGCGAGCACTCTTGGTTCTTTGACTGTTCTTTCCGATTGTGCTGTATGGCTTGCTACCAGTAGCTTTGGCTGGCGGCCATCCCTCCCAAGATTGATGCATTTGCCCGGATGAGCTCGGGCTCAGTCGACACCCAGTCCGAAAAGGATAAAGGATATGATAATACATCAGATATATCATAGGGCATAGGGAGCCCCGTGAAGCTGGCGAAGCTTGTCTTGAGTTGTCTGGTTGAAGTTAAGTGTGTCTGCTGGGCTTTTCGCGGTCAGCTGTGCCGCTGATGAGTTGCTGATGGCCGTAAACTGCCACAGTAGCCGGGAAGCCACGCCGACTACCAGCGTGCTTCGTCCTTGCCTCCAGATCCTCCAACCGCCTTTGAGCCGTCACCATCTGCTCTTCGAGCTTTGCATGCACCTCAAAACAACTCCCTCGGCGTCTCGGCTTGTCTCGGTCTCTGGTGCACACTCTCCCATAGCGCGCACCTCGCTCGCAGACGCAAGCGCTGCATCTTTCTCCTCTGCTCTGTTCCACTCCCCCGGTGCTGCGGCAATCCGACTAAACCCGTAATTAGGTCGTCCTCGACGGCTCGCTTCAGCAGCCAGGCCTTCACAAAGGAAAAGAGGTGCCCGGCGGAATCCAAATCGACTCAAGCCACGCACGTGGGATGCGGCGCGGATCACGGTGGCCTCGTGGGCGGCCTTTTCCAAAGCCTCATCCGAGACGGCACTGACGTCGGCCAGGCGCGCCTCCAGAACAAAGTCGTGTCCACTTTGTGTGCCGTAAGTACGTCTAGTGACCTGACTGCAATGCACCTTCACCTACCTGCAGGATCCTGCAGGTACGTGTGCACAGAAGCGAGAACCGGGAAATGGCCTGCAGCGCTTCGGCTTGCGCCATGGCCTGGCTCTTCGCTGGCACTGAAATGAGACAGCAGGTCATCACTGCTCCTCGTCGCGGCTTCTCCGCAAGGACTGGATGTCCTCCACAAATTTGGGAGCCGTTACGGGAGCCTCTCGTCTAGCGGCCTAGTCGTGACACCTCCGCCTCTCCGTCCGGATGTGATCTGGGCTTGGCCTTGGCCTCCTCTGTTCGCAGGACCCAAAAGCTCGAACTGTGAGACCTTTTTCGCTCCTCCTGGGCGATCTTTGGCGCCTCCGTGGAGGCGGGCCCTCAGTCGGATCTGCCCGAGATGCGATCCCGTGCAGGCTGCTATACTGGCTGGGACCGGGTAGGACCTTTAGGAGCCCAGTCACCTTCCACAGGCCCAGTGGCAGCTTCCGACGGCTCCTGGACGGAATCGGCAGCAGGAAGCTGTGGAATGCCCACAGAGACCGGAAACAGGACTTGCCTCTATCACAGCTTCCTTCTCAGACCTCGGGAACTATTCTCCAACTTTCTGGTAAGAGGCCGACTACCTAAACAACCTCGGTTGAAGGGATATCACACTGCATCTCACACTTTCTTCGAAGCCACTGCAACAGTTGCCCCATGCACTGCACGTGCTGCGGGCCAACAGCCTGAAGGAGTGTAAGCTGCCGGCTGCAATTCAAGGAGTTGGGCAATGGTTTCGTCCTGTGCCAAGCTCTCCACCTGTTGGACCCATGCAAGCAAGTCGAAAGCCTTCTGACACCCCGAGCCCCAGCGTCATTTGGAACCGATCAGTCTCCCGGCCGCACGGCCAATGGTACGGTCATGCAGCTCTGCCGTCGTGTTCGCGGCCTGCGATCATTCCGCAGAGCTCTCTGGGTGGATGCGGGCTTCGCATTCTGGCCCAGTTGACATCAAAAACGCTGAAGCCGCAGGCCGGGGAAGCCGGGCAAAGCAGCTGGTGCTTCTGGTTGGCTGCTTTGCACTCTTTTGATGCCCTAGAACCTCTGGCAAACCGTGGCTGCGATGTTCACTCCGCTCTTGTCTGACACATCGTGATCGCAGATTCTGCTGGAGCACCCAGCTATTTCGAGATTCCTACCACTTGCTTGGCATGTGAACCGGCTTGACATGACCCTCTTTTGTGCTGCGTTGGCTTGAGAAGCCTTGACTCCTGGCGTGCTGGGCCTAACCGGGTCCCGGTCGTGGGAAAAGAACCAGAGAAGAACTGACTGAGCTCGGACAGCGAAGTCGTGTCAAACTGCTGCAGAAGCCTGCTCTTGTATCTGCTGCTCCCACTCGTCCAGCTTGGCCACATCGATGCCCCTGTCCTGAACTCTCTGCACAAAAACCGCGGAAGTCAACGCGCTTATCAGCCCGACCTTGGCAAACTGGGTGTTGGCAATCGTGGTCTTGGCATCCTGCATGTCTGTCTGAACTCCGATCACAAAGCCACCGCTCTGCAAGTACCTTCTCCGTGCTCCTTGTTCAGCTGTTCCTTGAACTCCGCGAAACCTTCTTTGAGTCCCAGGTTCTCGACGAAGTTGCCGAACATCGCTCCCTGCGCTGCTCTAGGACTCGAGGCCGCTGGGGTAGAGAGGCGGGTGTCCAGCCTCCAAGGCGGCAGGCTGGAGTGAGATCACGAACTTCCAGGGCGCCAGCCGCTTACACCCTCGACTGCATCCCAGTGTCCCGCGTAACTTCTCTGCGCTAGAGTACGCCGCGACATGCTTGTGCGGAGATGGAAAGTCTGTCAGTGTGTCTTCCTTGGATTCTTGGTTTCGGCTACTCGGCTACTTCTGCGCTGCAACTCCACGTATGACATGCATTGACTGCAAGCAGAAAGTTGGCTGCGGGCAACCTTTGATGACTGTGATGATGCGCGTAATGCTAGACGACAAGAACCAACTGAGGCTGACAAGAGGAGGAAATGAGCCTGATGATGATACTGCTGATCATAATGGTGCTGGGGTATTGGTAAACGTGATGCTCTGCATGAGGGTGGCGACGACGCTGAAGATGACGCTGGCAATGGCGATGGTGGTGACAATGGTGAGACCTCTGCTCGGCACACGTACGGTTTCAAGATAATCGTAGCTGGTGCTGCAAGTAGAATGACAATGAATGACAGGTCCTAGTATGGCAGAGCAGCATGCGCCGCCGTGTGTCCCTGCCAGACAGATGCCTGCACGCAAGTCACTGAGCACAGCAATTATATCTTGATCGCGCTACATACGTACAATTTCTCCTTGGTGGACAGACTCCAGGCAGCAGCAAAGCAATGGACTGTGGAGCATCCTGAGTAGCATCTCGAAACAGCGACATCTCCCAATGCGAGATATTCGAGCCACACGTTTCGCTTGACTTTGAACTCGACATGGCAGCTGTCAGCTGCACGCAAACAAGTGGAAGTCGTAGCATGCACGCGCAACGTCTGCGATCAACCGCTCGCGTTCCTCGTACAAATCACCAGTGGTACTCTGAGCTACGAAGTCGGCAAGCCCCTTTGTGTAACAACAAATCGCAAAGGCATGGCCGTTTGGAAGGTAGACAATTCCCACATCGTTCGCGCGTCCGCCCAAAGACCCCGTCTTGTGCTGCACTCGTGGAGGGCCGGCCCCATATCGTGGCAGGCGACCAAGAATGCGCTTCGCCCCTGTGCGGCAGTGCCCCATTATCTCGAGCAACACTTGAGTCGAATCATCTGATATCCCAGCTTCTCGATTCCAGATCTTCTCCAACAGACCGGCCATGGCTTCAGGCGTGGTTGTATCACGCAGGTCAGCGTCAAATTCACGATCCGGCTGGCAGCAAACCGACAGGGGCTGAATTTCCATGCGCCCTTCCAGCAAAGCGACGAAATCCACCATATCCATCTCAGATTCAGGCGACCTCCGGGTCGGAATGCGACATCGGATGCCACAACGGTCGCGTAAATGCTCCAAGCAGCTCCTGGCCACGCGAATCTCATCTAATCCAAGCTTCTTCATATGCTCGAACACCACCGATGGGCCGCCCACACGATCCAATAAAACATCGGTGGCTGTGTTGTCAGAGTCGTTCAATGCCTTCTCCAGCAGTTCGTATAGGGAACACTCTGTCCGGATCTCGTCGCGAGGCACGTCTTTCAGTTGCGCAAGGAGTCCTGCAGTGAGCACACCAGTGCCTGGGCGAACATCGAAAGCATCCAGGACAAACTTCTGCTCCAACGAAAACCGACCAGCATCTACCATCTGAAGAACCGACAGAGCCAGTGGTATCTTAAACGTCGACGCCATCGGAAATCGCCGCTCGAATGGCTCTCTTGCTGAATCTTCGGGCACCACAAGCTCCAAATCAACTCGTGGCACGTTGAAGGGATCCGGAAGGGCTAAGTTCCGCAGCGTCTTCACAGCAATTCCGACAGTCGCCCGTGTACTGCCGGCAATTCTCACAAGCTCTGCCCTCAGGCTTTGAACAGGAGAAGGTGCCATGCGCGGTGCACAAGATCGACAAGGATCGTCGATGGTGTTGAATCAACAACCGATCGCTGCGATCGCTTTTGTAAAATGGATTGTATGCAACGCCTACACTCTACACATTCTCTGCATGCTGGGGTGCGACAAAGCTAAGAAGATCTAAGCAGCATTGACAAAACCTGATTTGCGAGCTGCACTTGTCCAAGACTGATCTTAGGCAGCCATCCTAGTGCTTCCGTCAAATGGCTATGCCATGCGGGTGTGGCGAGCACTGATGCATTGCACCGACCTCTGATAGGAAGATGAAGTAGTACTAGCTGAAAGGCAACTGTTTATCCGCTCACCCCTTAAGACCTCGACCTGCAATTCTTTCTGGCATCCAAGCGAGCGGCATCCGTTTGCCGGACCCCCTGGCAACCAAAACTGCGCCATCTCCAGCGATAGACAGATTCGCAGGCAACCCCGGCAAGCAGGTATGATCCGGTCTGTCACCAGTTCGGGACATCGTACTCCCAAATGGCGTGGTGCGGTAGCCAGCCACCTTGGAGGGGATGACGCTGGCTCAGCCTGAACAGGTTTGTCCCGACCACGGCTGCGACGAAGGGCTGCGATCCTCTGGGGAAGCTCTGCGAGCAGCCGGGCTTCCCATCTGACCAGCCCGATGCGCGGCACCCGGTAAGGCCATGCGATTATCGCAGACTCCGCTGGCTCCATACTGACCCCCTCCTCTTCGTCGTAAAGCGCGCAGAAAAAGGCAAGTGCAGACAACGTGGAGGCAGGCATCTCAGATCTATCGTTGTCTCGTGCTGGTCAGAGCCAAAGGTAAGCTGAAGAGGGAACCCCCTAGTTCTTAGCTAGCAGTCCAGCATGTATTCCCCGATCATGGTGTCGCCCGGCCGCAAGTCCCGGAACACTTCGTCCCTGCTTCAGAGGCAAAGTCTTACCGCCCCTTCGCAGACTCACAGACCATTGTCCAGGTGACGAAGTGCCTTTAATTCTTCGCATCTCGCTCGCCTGCATGCGATTTCAGATGCTGTCCCAGTCCCAGGCACAGGGTGTCTAGTGCACAGACAGCTCGGTAAAAGCAAATACAGCAGATGGTGCGCTGCTTTACGATGGGTCCGGCGTGATGAAGCTGGTGGAGAGGCCAGTGCTTTGCCACCTGGACACAGCGCTTCTGACAGGAACCCTTCAGCAACCTAAACCCTAAACTCTAAACCCTAAGCCTAAACCCTACAGTAAGCCCTTCTTAGCACAGGCCCTGCCTGCGTGAGCCCCTGCGGGTGAGACGCAGGGAGAGCTGTGCCACGTACTCCGTGGATGCTTGCAGGTTGAACACGGTAGCCTCAATACACCAGATCTCTCATCCATGAACGAAAAAAAGGAAACACAAATAGTCTACATGTATGCATACATACATCGATGAACAGCATGCCCGCCTCACAAAGTGACTTTCCATCTTCGCAGTCCACCAACACCGAAGTTTGATGCTGCAGGCCTTCCAGCAGCTGTTTGAAGACATCCAGCTTGAATTCGATTTCAAAAGCACCACAAGTCGGAGACAGCTTTGGCCAAGAACAGGTCACTGATGTGATGCTTTTGGCATGCACTGTGAGCTCTCCACCGGGCACTGTGATTGCCGGTAGCTTCAAGCTCAGAGGAACCGTCTCGGCTGACCATTGAGACCGCCGTGCGGTTGAAAGCAGCTGTGCCGAAAAGACATAGATCTTCCCTGACACCAGCCCATGCGTCTCAGAAATGTCCACCGTAAACTTGCGCTGCGTAGGTAGGGGAAAGAGGATGCCCGGTGACCATGTTGATGGTGTGGGTCGCCCACTTGTGGTACGGAAGCGTACTTGCAAGAATATGGCTGCTGGTGCCATCGGGGCATCCGTGTCTGCAGTCAGACGCACCTGCAAAGACCCAGTACGATCGACGACCTCTACCGACAGCTTTGGCGGAGGAAGATGGGCAATGCAAACATCACTGCTTGGCCCGACTGATCCGCATGCTCTGTCCATCCAGCGAAAGCGGACGAGGTTACCGAGGTCAAAAGGCAAGTCGAAAACTGCGACATAATCCGTGTCGTTGAACCGAGTACGAACCCATGCCGCCTTCTTCCAGCCGAGGACCTGCATGCCAGCGACAGGCACATTGGACACGAGCACTTGCACGCAGATCTCAGCGTTTCTTGCCGTCTGTCCTTTTTGTATTTTGTTTTGGTCATTTTGACAGTTGAAGTTAGTTGAAGTTCAACTTTTCTAATCCTGAAGCCCGACAAGCTGCTGATAAACCCCTACGCCCGGTGGCCTGATGAACGAGTGGGTTCTCCTCTCGGACTTCCAAGCTCAGCTGCTCCATGGATGGCCAAGAGAGAAGCACCGATCGCCTGGGCTCTTCTTCGGGGCTCGTCGTGCTGGAAGTTAGTAGACTCTGAAATTCGCAGACTCGGTGCTTCTGCTATGGATGCGTAGCATGTCCCAGCATACTATTCGCTTTACGTCCCGAGTCTCGCAGCTCAAAGGGGAGGAATTTAGCATGTCGATTGTCGTAGCGCATACCGAAGAATAAGCAAACATCTTGGTTACCGCCTATCCCCGGTATGGCAACTCAAAGAGTAAGACAAACTTCATGATCACTGCAAATCCCCTGCATGCTAAATCGAATTGGAACCCAGTCTCTTCCATCGCGGGTTGGACTCCTCGAGGGCCCCATCTGGCAGAAGCATCTGCCTGATCCACAACCAACTCAACCCGACCAAACCCTACGCAAGGCTTACGGTAGCCTGCCTGTACTCGTTGGAACCTCTTGGAAAGTGTTTGGCATTCTGCCGTTACGGCTGGAGTATCGTAAATGCCGGACTTTGCTCGTAGGCTGGTACGAGAACCCGCATGAAGCCACCCCGGTCTGGCTACTCAGGACCTGTGTCAGTCTCGCGCCGTGCCCTCTTGCGGCCTCTCGCGTTTCAGCCAAGCAGCTGTGGCCGTGGGAGGGCCCAGTCAACAAGGCAGCACCATTCTTCCGAGACAGTTGGCCACTGGAGCGGCTTAGACCGCGCGACTGGCAAAGACCACGAATCTTGAGGGCTCTGAAGCCGTGGCAGCAGGGCCTTCGCGTAGAGGAGGAATTGGTAGACGACCGTCGGCTGGAATCCATGAGCAGCTACCTCCAAGTGATCCTGGTCACCGTCACTGGGGGCGTTCTGGCCGCTCGCATGGTGCCGCGCGGTCCTGCTGCATCTTCCCAGCAGGACCTCCTCGTTCACGGCATCAACCTTGACGATCGTCACTGCACAGTCAATGGGGACAGCACCGAGACCACAACAGAGAGGACTCCAGGTCAGAGTCACCTTGTGATTTCTTGGTGCCGATACCCCAAGCTCACCGTCGGAGGACCAGACAGCAGGCTGCATCATACATAGAACATCGCCGAAGTCGCTCCAGCATGACCAAAGGCTCATATCACCCACCCGAACTGCAGCCGAATATTCGAGGCCATCAGAAGGAAACTCGGATATGGGGATGGACAAGCAAGCCTTTCCCGCCGATACATGTCCTTCCGTTAGGCTCTGCGGCTTTGCCGGGCAGTCTTCTATTCGGATCCCTTCGCGAAGCTGTCCTCGAAATTTCACTTGACACCGCTGCACTTGACCCCAAGCGTCACGGTCTCCAGGGCTCCTTTTCGGGCACCCAAGAGACGCCTCCACCTGCACCACGAGCTGGCTGCACGGATACGCCAGCATCAGCCTTGGAGGCAGCGGCGCTTCGAAGCTCGTGGTGATGGGCTCCGAGACGTGTGAGAACCAAAGGCTCTGCGGGAGCAAGTTCTTAGCCACAGAGTCCTACAGAGAAGCAAGGGATCCGCAAAGACCCCAACGAGCTTCCCGATAAAACCCGTCAGGCTTTGAATCCGGGTCCTCTAAGCATAGACGCAGCTGGACTTGCTGGCACTTTGCTTCGGCATTCCCGCCCAGATTCCAAAGCACCTGTTGACGCTGTTGGAGCAGAGGCTAAAGCAAGAGAGGGCCTATCGCCTTCACGTCAGCCGGTGTTCCCTCCGTTCCCTCCGCCTCGTGCCAATCAAGCGATATGCACACCATGCAACTCACAAGACGAAGCGGTGAAACCTCCTTGTTGGTGTTCTGTTGGAGTTGGACGGAGGTGGCGGGACGCCAAGGCTCCGAAGCCGCGGACCTGTCTCCGCAACTCTTCTTCAGCACAGTCAGGAGAGCACGAGGAACCCTGCGGGACAGGACCGATCTGGATCGCTTAAGCGGTGCTTAACCCGCAGACGAGAAACAAATTCCTCCCTCACGACTACTCTGCGTAACTTGCTCTCGCTTAGCTCTATCTGTCGGCCTAGCCTGCTCCGCGGCCGCCACTGCAGTCTCCACAGAAGCTCCTGGCATTTTTCTTTTTGCATCCAGGCATACTTAGGCCTATTGAGACTCTGGCTCGTCTTGGTTCCCCGAACTGCCACCTATTCTGCAAGGGCCTGAGAGGAGCGAGATGCGACTCGGGGGTCCAGTGACAGCGTGAGCGTCTCGAGAGCCTCCCTCGGCTTTCTACGACTGGAATCGAAACTCTTTTTCGTGCTATAAGATAGAAAGAATGGCAAGAAAGTTAAAGTGTTGAGCATCTGAGCCCAGACACTGAGGATCTTTCGCCAGGGCTGGTGCCATCAGCGGTGCCAGGATGGCATTCCTGCAGGGTCCTGCGGGTAAGTGCTCCCAGCAGAAAGATGCCCCCGCACACTCCCCAAGCGAGGTTCCCCATGCCCCGCATCCGTCTCCTGTGCAAAAAACGGTTTCAAGCCTGGCTTTTGCATCGCCGTTTGCAGCTGAAATGGCGAAGTGGTACCTAGGATGCTTCTGCTAGAGCGGAACGCAAGATTCCATCACCATTCCAATTCTAAACATTTCTGGCAAACTCTGTCCTGTCACTGACCAAAGGAGTAACTTCAGCAAAGGCGGCTCCGTCTCCGGCGCCAGGCGCCGCAGCAACGCGGCGCACCGCAGGGCAAGGGTTCCTGCCGGTGCTGGCGTGAAGACCTCCGGACTGCGGATGAGCACTCTCACAGGTCGCGGTCCCATGGCTCCGTCTTGATACGTAGGGCTCTCAGCTATACTTCTGTCCCCGTGGAAGACACCGCCTCTTTCTCTGAAGGCATCTGCCGGTGACAATGACTCATGGCTTCTTGAAACTTGCCTTCACAAGCGTGCACAACAACATGCCTCATCATCTGCGGGTCGAGGTGACTCAAAGGACACTGCCACTTGGTAGCCCGTCAGACCTTGCCCCAACACAGAGTGTATAAACGGATCGAGTTCAAAAAATGTCATTGCGAGGTGCTCGGCGATGTGAAGCTGTCCCAAGATAGCTGCACGCTGCAAGTGCTCAATGCAGCGATCATCTCCCCGAAGCATGGGCGAGCTTCCACAGCAGCACCTGCCATCAAGCTGTTGTTTGGGCTATTTCGACCCGGACCCGGAAAAAAACAAAAAAGAAACCTCCCAAGGTCTACAAGTCAAAGGCCATCTTCGCCCAGCCGCCCTCTCGCACGCGCAGCTCGTCGCCAACCCTCGGCCGCGGTGGCGGCCGCTCCAGGAGAGCATCCACAGCCTGTGTTGGGAAAACAAGCCCAGACGTCTAATTACGAGTCTACGGAGTCCGCGGCCTCGGTCCAGGGCGACCACACCGGCGCCGGGGAAAGGGCCGGGGCTGCGCGGAGGCGGACGCGGTAGCGGCCTCCCAAGGACTTGAGAAGCGCGGATGCAACTGCGAGGCGGTCTCTGCCAAGCAGGCCTGGAGCCAAGATGGCCGGGCCCAACAACACTTTGATCTCCTCGTCCCTGGCTAGAGACAAGAAGACGAGCAAGCTGAGAGAGGGGGAGGTTTGGGAAGGCGACAAGCACAGCGCCTTTGCTCGTGCGTGAGTTCACGGTTTGGGGCTGTCAACGCAGGCCTGCGAATGAAGGGGTGATCCATAGAACGTGCCGGCAATGTCATCCGCTCCTCATTGTCCTCCTGGGCAAGAAAGGTCTCGCTCCTACGACATGCTAGCAAAACCATCTACGGCTCGTTGGATTCTGCAGATGGCCTGGAAGCACACCTGGAAGCGAGACAGGGCCTCCGGCACGACCGTACACATGCTCTTGAAAGCGGCTCAAGCATAGCCTTTCTAGCGGCCCCGTGTGCAGCGGTGGGGCGCCTCGCGGCAGGCGGATCGAAAGCGCAGCTGGAGTGCTGGTGCACCGTGGCGGAAGAAGACATCGGCCATCAAGGGCGGTGCCTGGAGCCACTGGTCCGGTCTTATCCTGCCAATCCCCCTGGCCCCAGGCCCTATACTAGGCAGACAGCCGCCTCAGTGGGCGCTTGCAGCGGAAGCATCTCGCCGGGTTCTGCCGCGGCCCAGCGCAGGTAACAGGGGCCAGGCCCCAACCTGGCCCGTCGGCTTTAACTCGCATACCAAAAAGGCAAGTCTGTTCATGGGGGGGGCGCTGTAATTGGCTTGAAGCTTTGGCAAATGGAGCTGGGCACATCGGATCGTGAAGCAACATGCTTTTTTGGGAATTGTCGTGCAGGCTGCAGTCCATCAAAAGGGGGGTAACAAAGTCTCATCGTGCTTGCAGTCGCCAACCCTCTTCAGTGTTCATCAGTGCCCCCCCTCACTTGCAGATCTTCGGCACGCAACAACAGATTGCCGGGGTTCCGAAAACTGCTCTTTTGGGCTACGGGGTCGAGCGGCAAGGGCATGGCAGCTCTACAGGCACCAGCCATGAGTAGCTGAAGCAGACCGTATCGGCATGTGAAGGTAGCATTCCTGCGTAGCACAGTCAGCCTGCGCAGGTCCAATGCCAGCACCCCCTTCTCCTGCTCATGGGGCAGTCGCTGCCACTCCAGGTGTCCACCTATGCCAAGAGAGTACCATCAACTCTAAACCAGAAAATGTTGCATAAGACATAAATTAGGTCACTAATTGAGTCCCTCCATTCGTTTCGGGCTGGGCCCCAGGCTCCTGGCCGAAGACGCTGAGGCCCACTGCAAAGCGCACTGGGGCTCTTCAGAGGCTTCGGCAGCCCCGGCAAAAGCGAGTGCCGGGGGCTTCAAGCAGGTTACCTGGCAGAGCAGATGTTGACAACTCAAAGACTTCGGTAGACGGGTCCCACGACAACCCCGTGTATAAGTCATAAGTCCGAAGTACGCACCACACGGTGGTGGGAGAACGACTTCGTAAGGTGGAAACACAAGTCACACCCCAAGACATGCACGAATGCACGGCACCACGAGATATGGTCGGCGAGAGGCACCCCAAGATGCACCCGGCCCTGCGGCACGATTGCGATTGCGAACTTGGAATCATGCGCCATGAACTAGAGCGATTTGAGCGCCAAATCAGCACGGTACTGTGCTGTGTGCACACTATGGCAGGAGCATTAGCATTGAAGTAGTCGCATTTGCATTAATTCCGTCTTCCACGGGTCTGGCAAGGCCGCAGCGAGACTGTTCAAAGACTGAACCCAAGAGTGGAGCCTGCTCCATGTTCTCGTGCTGTTCTCTGGTGAAGCAGGGTGCAGTCCAGGAAGGATGCCGACCAAATCCATCTTTCGTCACCTTCTGACTGCGACTCCGCGGCAGAGAGAAAGATCGCTGGAGATGGCACCAACTCCCATTTGCCCCATCACCCAAAACCGCGCGGTGGCGGCCCTCCACACGAATTTCATAGTCGCAGCAGGGCCTCACAGGGGCTGGGTTGCAGGTGCTGTCGGGAGGAGCTAGCAACATGAACTCTTTTTTTTGGCAGTTGAAGACCAGTTGCTGGAGATGCGTCAGGCGGCAAACTCGGTTGCGGTTGGCATCGTCGTCGGTCTCCAGAGGGACCCACTTTGTGCATCGGCTTCCCCCCTTGCACGATGATTCCGGCCAAGATCTGAGAAGGATACGGTAATCCACCTCACTGCTGAGGAATCCCGGAATCTCGAAAGCTTTCCAGCGAACTGTCGCTTCGCAAGGGTCGTAGTCATTCACTTCCACCTCTAGTCCCTCACTGGCAATGGGTGTAGGCAAGCCCAAGGTGACAGCACCACTGCCCCAGTCACTCCACTCCGATGCCAAGCCCTCTCGGTAGGAATACCTCACAGATATCTCCAAGCGGCCCGAAAGGCCCGAGAGGCTCATGTCCCACGGGTCCCAGGGCCCTCGGAGCGGACGGGACTCGAAGCTCCGACGAACGCTGCCCTGAAAAGTCTCCCTCTCCCTGGCAGCCATTTCGGGTCCCAAAGTCCACTCCTTCGACTCCCCGAGGCGCCAACGATACTGCCAAGACCAAAGCCGGTCTTCGCCTTTCAGCTTCAGCTGGCCCAAGCTCTCAGGAAGCGCCCACTCCAGGGCTACCTCCTGGCAGCGACTCCTCGCAAAACAACGCAGCCTGGGAGGCTCCAGGTTTAGGAGAAGTGGCAGCGTCGCTTGCCCCAGCCAGGTGCCGGGATCCTTCCGCACAGCAAGGCCCCACTTCACCCAATCCGGCTGTTTGTATGCCAGTCGGAAGATCACGGCAGTGCCCGGCGAACTTACCGGAACCGATGCTGCGAGGCACCCGCCAGATCCATCAATGCGAGTCCTGACCACTGCAACATGTCATGCTATGTCATCTGTACATCATCATAGTGGACATCTCATGCACTGCTAGATCTTACCAGCAAGGTCCTGCCCAAAGGCACGGGCCAGCAGGACAGGGACATCCAGCTGTTCTCGCCGTCTGTGGAGTTCTTGCTGCCTGCTCGCTCTACTCGCTGTGAATCCATCCGCTTCGGTGGGTTCTTGCTGCCTTTCACCTCGCAGACATATGCGAGGGAACCTCACTGTGGGAGTGTGCAGCAGTCTCTGGCCTCAGGGCGCCCCGAGGATGCCTTGCTGGGCGCCGAGCCTGTCGACTCGCAGCACAGACACCGCAAGCGGCCGGGATCCCGGCCTTTGCTCGGAAGTCTCGCGGCCTCATTCCAAGCGCTGCCTCCGACGCACAGGAGTCGGCGTACTGCAGTAGAGAAAACCCGAGACCCACGGCCTACGGTGGTGTGCTCACACATCTGCAACGTGTGCGACGTCATGATGTCCTGGAGGTGATTTGGCTGTCGGATCTTCGCACTCTGAAAACTTCTGCAGGCAATGGGCTTGCCACCCATTCAAACTTGTTTATTTAAGTGATTAAGTGTGTATAGCTTGTTCACAAACGTCCCCCACATGCCAACGACTGGTGGAAACGGACACTGCCGCTTATTATGGCAGGCACCGACAGAAGAAGCCTCGATCTCCCCTCTGGCTGCCTCCTGTCCCTCCCTCGGCACCCGCTCACACGTGTAGAACAGAATAGTTGTCGTTTTGGACGAAATCCCCGCACGATTGTCTGTCGCAAAACTTTTGGCATCGTTTGGCAACTCCTGCGACTGCGACTGTGAAGGAAAGCACAGGCTCGAGGGCAGTTTCCTTTCGAGGGCAGTTTCCTTCAGGCAACACCAAGCTCCTGCTCCTCCCACTCCTCCCACGCCTCCCGCAGCTGGTGGTAATCGGTGGTGACGGCGGTTATCTGTGGTGTCTGTGATGGCCAAGAAAACGCTACAAGCATGCACCAAGTGACTCGCACAAAGGCCAAAGACCAACATGTTCAACGAGACATCCACCCATGAACAAGCGACCATGCCGGCAATTACCGTGTTCATAGAGCCCCGGACCAACAAAGGCGATTGCACTGGCATGAACACCTGATAACACCTGCCTTCAATGCCACGTTACAGGGAAAGCCGTCACGGCCCCTTATCAAGACCCAACCAACTCGGGCTTCGCCGACCCTCTGGCAAGATGCGAGGAGCAGTCCTGAAGGGTTTGGGCCCCAGAGAAAACATCCAGGATCACGATCAGCTCTTCTGCATCCTCCCGACCGGACTCCAAAGAAGCACAGAACTGAACTGAACTCCGCCCTGGGCCTGACCCGGCTCTTGACCGGCCTGAGCTCTTGCAAGGGATCACTTCGAGAAATTCGTTGCGATCGCGTGCTGTGTTCTTGTTCCTTTGCTTTTGTTTAAAGCGCTTTGTGGATCATGGAGATGGTCGTCGGCTCGAACGATCTCTTTGGATTGAGGCAAAGCCGGAGCATGCCATGATTTCGGAAATCATACGTGGCTGAGAAGACTCTAATGCCGCTATTGCACACAAATGCCCTAGGATCATGGAGCTTCAATCGGCTTCCGTTACCGTTCTCGGGGCGAATAACTTCCCCGTCCATGGTTAAAGGCGGCCTGTGGGCAGCTGCGGAAAAGCCTTCCCCATCGAGGCAACGCCGTTTGAGAAGGGCTACAGCAGGCACGTCCATTGTTACGTGAATACCACCACTACACTACTATCTCCACGTTCGGAATTAGGTGCAGGTCCGGCATTCCCCGACTGGCCCACCACAGCCATCACGACATATCACGAGTGCATGTGCACATGTGCATCCAGTCTTGTAGCAACGGTTTCATAGTCTTGTGTAGGATGGCTGCCTAGGGCCTTCCGTCCCCTGAGCTAGTGAATGCTGTCAATGCCTGCACGGCATCTGCATCGGAAACTGAGTCTCGCACGGCGGGCGTGGGTCGTGCTTCCAAAGCCTTCTGCAGGTCCTCATCTGTCACGGAAGCTACCTGCCAGGGCCCCTCATGAGTTTCCGAGACCGTCGAGCTCTAGCCCATGACCTGAATGACGGGATGAGGCCGCAGCTTGGTTCCGCCGGCGGACCTGCACACTGGGCAGAGGTTGAGAGCACTTGTGCTGGGTCAAAGGAGGCAACATCTTCTGCAGCTGCCTGCCTGGGTTCGGCCCGCGCCGTTTGGGCGGAGGGGTCTCCTGGCGCACAGAAGGGCTCCTTCTTCAATAAGGCTGGACACCTGCAGTCGGTGCTCCGTGCCCTCTCGGCCCCGGCCTGCATCCGCTGCCGGGGAAGGCGGTGCGCGAGGAACATCCGGAAGCCTGGAAGAGCCGGAGGACCCTAAAGCCACAACCGTAAAAGCTCCTGGAGACGGCCTGTGTCGGGCGTCGAAGCCTCAAAAGGAAAAAGGGCTCAAACCGCCGCTCGGCTCCAAGGAAATCTGAGGGCCTGGCTCTGTGCTCTCGCCGGGGGAGCCTGAAAGCACGAAGCACTCGATACTGGTAGAACCGGCACACTTCCAGAATCCAAGCGTGTGTCTTCAAATGTCTAGTCTTCATCTCAAAGCCGCAGCCGGACGCAATCATAGTCTTTGCCCCCCGTCGCCTTTGCCCTTCGTCGAGGCGGCGGTGCTGAGGGCGCACGCGGCAGGGGCGGCAACATGAAAGCGTCTCTAGTGCTTGGGTTTGGGCTTCGGGGTGTCTGAGGGTTTCGATTTGGGTTCAGACACCAGCTTCGAAGCTTCGATGTCACTTTGTGAATTTCCCAGGCTTAGGGACTGTGACTTCAAGCCAAAGCCTCGTGCACATGTCGGGCCGTAGTCTAGATCTCTTGACCACCTGCTCCCCCACTCTTGGAGCAGAAGAGTCGCAATTCGCAACAGAACCGTCGTGATGCCGTTACATCAATGCCGTCGGCCGTCCGGGCTGGGACTGGAGTCTGAAGTTTGGCCTTGAACCGCTAGAAACCTCCGTCCATCTCTCCCTCTTTGTTGTCTCGCACTCTGACACGCTCGCAAAGTTAGCAAGAACAAAGAGTGTTCTGTGGACAATCCTTCAGAGCTGCTTTTACTTGAACGAATGACTAGGACATGCAACCGATCATCAAGTCACTGTCGTCTCTATTATGTCACTGTCATTGAGATCCCCAACAGCCCCAAAACCAGTGAAAGCACAAGCACCAATAGCAGCAATTGCCCAGACCGCTTTTTGCTCGTGGGGTTCACTGTGCCAGAAAGCGCTGGACCTCCTGACGAACAGCTGAGCATGAGACCCAAAACTTTGCCAATGACCAGGCTCCGTGACACTCGGTCCTGAGGAAGAGCCACGTGAAGAACCGGATATTCAACGATTGCTTTGTCCATCAGGTTCTCCCTCAGCGTGCGCGACAAGTCGAGCCTGTCGTTCGGCATAGATGAAGCAAATTCGCGTTTCATACACTTGTGTGAGTGTATGCGAGGGGACACGGCATCATGTATACACAAACAGCTTCCACGAGAACAAGCCAATAACTTGGACAGCGGAGTCAACTGCCACAAATTGCTTTCCCCGACCGTTCCAAAAAAAAACACCGGCTTTTTGGCCCGACCTGGCAAAGGGCTCGAAGTGGCCCTCTGCCTCAGAGTCTTCCGCCTTGGACTCGCTGGCTGCCTCGCTCTCCGACTCCTCGCTCTCCGACTCCTCAGGGTCTCCAAGTCTATGCTTCGCAACCAGGCAAGTAGGCTGCACAGCGCACTTCTTTCCATGAGAACGAGAGAGTATCGATCCAAAGTCTTCATGCATCTCTCTGCTGCTTGCTAGCTTGCTGGGGGTGTGGGGGTCCAAAGAACCTTTCTTTCTCCAGGGCTAGGAGCAAGGGGATTGCCCAAAGAACCTCTCCCTCAGCCAAAGGAAGTGCGAGACACACACAGAGAGAGAGAGAGAGGCATGCATGGTCAATTATTGCTACTCTTGCAATTACACATATGCATAACTAATCAGACACGAACACACACACACACAGACAGACACAGCGAAATGCAAACATGACATATCGAAGTCATAAACAGATTACCGACACAGAGTAGACGATGACCAAATGAAAGGACAGCCGACACATCTAATTCCAGCACGAAGTGGAGCACATGGACCTTCATGCCCGCATGCGGAGGACATCCTCTGCTCCAAATGCACTGTATAGCCCTAAAGACAAATTATTGTGACATGTGGTGCCGCTCTGTGCTTTTATGTACCGTAATGACCGTAATGTGCACTTGGTGCTCGTGGTTCCTACTCAACTTGTGTCACCATTCCTGAACTTGCTTATCATTTGCTGATTGTAGCCGAAGACGGCACTGTGTCTGGTGCTTGATGTCTCTCGACAAACTTGTAACGAGTTTGCCCAGAAATAGCGATGACCGTTGGAGCAGCAAGTGCAGACGCGGCCACACATCAGCATACGAGGCAGGTTAGCTGAGGCACGAATCGGCCTCCATGTGCAGAGTGCAGCCGTGCAGAAGCAATCGTTAGTAATCAGTAGGACTGGTAGGTGCAGCAGTTCCAGCAGTGGTTGTGCTGAGTTGTGCTGCTGCAGTTGCTGCTGCTGCTGCGGCTCTACCACCACCACCGCCACCACCATCACACCCACCATTGGCACGGATACCAATAGTCATGCCCGCCATTAGAAATTCGCCTGCGAATGCAAAGTCGGTCAGTATGGAAAACAACTGCAACGACGACAGTACTCTACGGACAGCAAGCAGGTGTAGGAAGGCTTAAAACACACGACTCAGAGCAAGACTGACCCTAAAACACACAGCTGCTTCGGCTTCGAGCCTCGCTCGGAAGTCCGGGCTTCGGAGGCGGAGGTGGCGGAGGAGGCGGAGGAGGGAAACGGGGGCCTCATTCCAAACCCCCCAACCATGCCCAAATATCGCCATGTCAGACACACTGAGCCCCTGGCTCGACTCCGGATTCTGCCTTAGACCATCAGTGTCATGAAGCTGCAGAGCTGCGGAGTCGTCACCCCTTGCCTCTTCGCGGGCGGATCTTCTTCACTTTGCATCTCCTCCTCCGCCTCCTCGAGCAACATCTCGCGTCTCGATTTCCAGCCTGCAGGATGAATTCGCAACCGCGAACGAGAGCAGCCCCTTCAGTTTGGCCAAAGGACTATTGCGCTCAGCTCTGGCGCGAAGGGGCTGCTGCAGGAAGACCTCTGCGCAATGCAGAGCGAAGCCACACCAGGGAAGCGACATTGGACATTGGGGCCAAATGGAGGCAGGCTGCCTGTAGCTCATCCAGGCCTTGCTCGGCATACCTGAGCTTCCCGTGCTAAACTCCTTCACTCTCTGCAATTTGCCAATGGGTTGCCGGACGGAAGGAGAAGATGCCGGGTAGGCCCCCGTGACCAGGAGTTCTTGAGGAACCGCTCCTGGCAGGAAGGCGAATTTGGTGAACCCCGGAGTCCATCCGATTGGTGTCTGAGCCGACTGCAAGCACTTGGCCTACCACCTCGTGCTCTGCTGTGCTTCGGTCCTTGGAGATGCCGCCATCTCAGAACTCGAAGCTGCCAAGAGGACAACAAGAAGCTGCTTGAGTTGTATCAAGTTGTATCGCTCTGGGAGGGCGGCCGTAAGCACTTGCCCACAAGTGCCAAAATGCCAGTCAACTCGCCAAGAGATGTAGACCGGCTTCGACTCGGAGGCCGTGCTTTTGGAGCCTGCACAGGCTCTGGAAGCCTCTGTGCCGGCCGACAGATCTCAGAACCGTCTGAAAACTTCCAGCCTTTCTTTCCTTTCCCCTTGCCTTTGCCTGATGGCTCAGGCAACATGGCATCGTCCACAAAGAAAGGAGCTTAGCAAGTCCTCCGGCCTTTCCGCTTGCCCTTGCCGCTGGGGTCTACGACGCGCGATGTGTTCTCCCGAGCGAGGGACATGGCGAAGGGAGCCAGGATTAACCTCCCAAGGCACTTCGCAACAGAACTTCGCTCCCAAGCCACACAACCTCGCTGTCGATGACACGGAAAACCGCACCTCATCTGCCTCTCCGGCACAGCGCACGCCCTGGCCAGCTCGATTCGCATTTTGTGTCGCCTCGACAGTGCACAGCGGACACGAAGTCTTCACGACACCAACCAGGTTGCGGCATGCCACACAAGACAATGTGAATGTTCATGCACGGTTTGTGTTGATTCTTTAAGACGATGAAAATCACCAGCGCTTCATGGCAATGGGCACTCGAAGGGTCAGGGAAATACCGGAAAAGAATCAATAGAGTACATGCTTTAGCAATCCACCAACCACCGAAAGTCCCTAACTCTCGCAGAAAGTCAAAGAGTCCCGTAGATCAACATCAAGCATGTAGCAAATATCTTGGAAGTACATTTGCGTCTTCAAAGCATACTATGACTATGACAATCAAGATACATCAGTACGAACCCACGCCCTCTCGTATCAGAAGCAGATACATCTTTCCAACTACCGCAGTGCAAGCTTAGAAGGTTTGCCGCTGGTGCTTCTGGCGCGTGCTGCGCCCATCGTAGTACAATGTAGACATGCTTCGGGCTCGTAGATCCTTACATAGCGATGAGTGTGGCAGTGGGGCGCCGCCTCTTTCTTGATGTCTACAGGCTCTGTGTGCAGAGGCGATTTCAGACACGCACCCATCCGCGCCCATGGGTCTTGAGCATGCGGCTTGGGCTGGTAGAGTCGTAAGTCCTCCAGGCTGCAGGGCCGAGAGGTGCCGGTTGCACGGAGATGAAGTCAAGTCCATGTCTCTGTCGGACTGTAAGCAGGAGTCTAGGGATCCTCAAACACCTCGGAGACAGAGCGAGAGACCGAAAGACTCAGGAGACGGAGACGATCTTGCAAAGCCAGGGAGAGCCAAGCTCACGCTGCGGTCCTCGTCGCGGATCCTGAGGTCCCGATTGGCCCGATCGACTGCTGCATCCACCTCCTCCAAAAGCCCGAAGTCCCGAAGGAGGACCTGGCGTGTAACACGAAAACCGACATTCTCTTCAAGCGAAGTGAAGCCAAGGAACATCGTCCGTGAAGGAGTTGAGTGGCGCCACGTGCTTAGTGCGAGCTCGTTTCCCTGTGCAGCCGGTCTGCACCTTGTGCTCCTGCATCACAGACTTGAACAAAATAAAGGGTCTCCTCAACACGCTGTGCCCCTGCTTGAGAAGGCTTTTTCAACCGCCCTACACTAGACTACTGGTATCTGTCTTGGCCGCGTCGCACCTTGACACAGTCGGCTGAGCAGCTCCGGATGTCGCAGGCTGGGCAGCCTCAAACGAGTCGAAGCCTCTATGATTCTCGGACCTATGCACGACGCTGCGATGGGGTACCATTCGACCTGTGCAGTGTAGACTCTTCTTCAGCAGGGCACAGGGGGCGTTCAAGCCTAGACTCTCTCTCTCTCTCTCCTTCGCCAGGGCTGTGGTGGGGAGATGCCTGTGTTTCTTTCCCAAGGGCTATGGTGAAAGGGTTTGACCGCCACCACCGCGCGTGCCAGCGCCCCGACTGTTGTGGGACAAAAAGTTCCGTCAGTACTTCCCATCAAGGCAAGGACTCCCTGACCTAAAGGTGGAGAAAGCCGAAGGGCTGCACCAGAACAGATTTCGCGATATAGTTGGAAGTCCCCTTCGCGGCGGGAGGCAACTCTCTTGCTTGCTTGCACAGCGCGTGTGCTCAAGCGCTACGCTGATGTCTGAGACAACTTGGAGAAAAGTGAAGGCTCATAGTATCGTTGAGGGGCACGATCCCCGCATTCAGAGAAGAAAAGCAATTTATCCACCCAGCCCCCGATTAAAAAAGAAGAGGTGAACTCTTTCTCTCTCTTGCTTGATTCCTTTCTGATTCAGAAGAGGTCCCACGCGAATGCGCGCAGCCATGTTCTCTCTCTCTCGCTCGCTCGCCCTCTCCTCCCTCTTTCAGAACTTTGGATACAGCACCGCGCAGTTATCCTGCCAGGTTTTTTGGAATCCGCGTCTGCGAGCTTTGTCTACAGTTCAGTATGCAAATTCAAGGTCTAAAAAGGCAACCAACCCACTCATACTAAGCACAGAGCGAAAACTTGACTCAGGTATGCAACACAGATGAATTTCCATGCTTCCGATTTTGGACTAGCTTCTGGCTTCATCGGCGCCATGTCTGTTCGGACTTCTGCACTGGCCGGTGCTGATCACCTACATTCCAGGACAGGCCCCGGGCGATACTTCGGCAACTCTTTGTTGCAAACTGCACAGAGGGCCAAGGGAGACCTGCGCAAGAGCGACGAATGCAAGCGTCCACAGGCTGTTTGCAAGCCTGCTGCTGCTCACGGTCTCCATGTGCAGATTGTGAACCTGCATTACTCAGACAAGATTGCCGCTTCAATTCTCAGTGACTGCTCCCACCTGTGGGCATCATGGTCAGCGATGCTCATCGGTCCATCTATAGGTTCATAATGCAGCATGATCTGCATGAGCTTCGACGACATGCACTCTTCCCCTCCCAGTGAAACCGCTTCTTTGTTCCAGGTGTTGACTCCGCTGGAGGTCATTTTAGAAGGCGGCAGCACCGCGTTCGCATCTGTAGACTCGCTGGCTACAGTGTGAAGGCATGTAATTATGAGCCGAATGCTAGCATGGATGCGACTTCAGGGCAAGGACCTTCGGTTCAGGAGCACATCCCTTAACAGCCGGGGTCCTGGCAGTAGGCTATCGAAGATGTCGCGGCCACGGCCGTGGACAAGCAATGAAGTCAATAAAGGCACTCTGTTTTTGCCGGGCACAAGTGGCATGACGTCTCCTGCTGGCACCGTCACAAGAGGCGCTCGCAGCTTAGCGGCTTAGCCTATCACGGAGCCTCCCGAACCCGGCGCACTTGGCGCACACCCGCTGCTAAGGATGTTTCAACACTGCCATCTTCAGGAGTTCGGTCGCCGCCCTAACGAAGATCTTAGATGATCATGCCAAAGGAGGAGTCAGGAGGAGATGATGTTGATGATGCCATGCTCGCAGGCACTGCCCACAGCACCAATCTGGCGGATGGCTCGGACGATGTCGGACGCAGAGTTGATCGATCGTGCACATGGTGCACTGCATGATGTCGAAGTCTGTTGCAGTTACGACGTCAAGTCATTCTCGACCGCCGACGATGGACGAGACGGCCTCCTACCTGGTGAGCATCATGAGTCGCCGCTGGATGCCCCGAGGTAGGTATCTATCATGTCCCTCCGGGGCTCTTGTGCGGCCAATGCCATGTCTGAGCCTCCTGTCGAGTTTGCATGGTCCGCATCGTTACATACAGCCTCCTGTTTCGTACCTCCCAATGTGGCACTCGAGGACAGCCGACAGCGACTTTTCAACGCGGAGGCTGTGAAGGATCTCGAGCCATACGAAGACTTGTGACACTCACAGGAAAAGGACAAGTGGCTACACCTACGATCTGCAGAATGCCAGCAGCCGCCGCGAGTGAAATCCCCAGTCCGCTCAACTGCTCAGCGACCGTCGCGCCCCTGCCTTCATTTTCCGCTCTCCAGCTAAAGGCCGTGGGTATAGCACACACTTCAGGAAAAAGCTCCTTGCCGCAGTACGTGTAAAGTGTAATCTGCACACCGCCAGGCGGAGTCTCTGACTCGCATGAGAGGTTTGTTCGTTGGACCTGTATGCTAGCATACGGACTCGTATTTGTTGCACTGGGCCTACAAAGATGATTTCTGTTAGATCTTGATCGAGGCAAGGGCCAAGAGCCTCGACATGTTAGCAGCTCCCCGCTGCAGCTGGCGCTGCATCATTCATTCATTAATTCATTCATTCATGCATTCAGCCGGAGGAGGAGCAGCAGAACGACAGCAGAAGCAACAGCAACCGTCGGGCTTCCCAGTATGTCCAGAAAACACCCAAGACATCACTGTTTCGATGCGGGGCGTCAAGAACCGTTATGAGATGGTGCTGAATAGGATAAAAGAAAACAACACTCGCGATGCTGCGAAGACTAGCCCGTGATAGAAGACTGGGAACATGAGCACTGGCAACATGACGACCCTTCTTGCACGGGCTTCAAACATACGAACAAGTGGACCAAACAAACAAAAGCCGATAAACGTTGCCAGCAGCACGAGTCGACTCATTGTAAGCCCTTCACTACCACTCAAGCAGTCAAAGCAAAAAACACAAATGTTGCACATGGCGTTTGGGGTGACAGACACTCCTCTGCTCGTCAAAAACAATCATCATCGCCGTCGTTGTGGTCGTCTCGCGGGCGTCGTCGTCCGTCGTCTGTCGTAGGTCGTCGGCCGTCGTCGGCCATCGCTGTCGTCGGTGTCATCGGCGTCGGCAGTGTCGTCGGGGTCGTCGCCGTCGTCGATCAACGCGGTCGTGGAGCCGAGGTCAGCTTCATCATCTTCATCCGCATCCCGACCCAAATCGCCACACCAGCTACAACGTCTTTGGGCTTCCTAAGAGCATCCCAATTCCTAATCGTTTCCGTCTTGTTTGGCACAACTCGACATCCCTCCATGGCCTGACGAGTGCGGGTGAGACGCGGCAAGGCATGTGCATGTTGCATTGCTACGGGTGCGGTCTACAAACATCCAAGAACGCTCCCAGAACGCAAGACTACTTGTGCTGCAGAACTGCTCGCTGCATCAGGGTGCCACAACACAAACAGAAAAAGGTACAGCAATACAGTTTAGTAGCAGCTGATATATAACAGATATAATGGACCATGTCATAGACCACGTCTGCTCACCTCACGCGGACTGCGGCGGCTGACCATCCTCCCCCACGATGCCAACATTTTGGACAGCGGGGTACTTGCGCTTGATTCTGTTCTGGACTTCGACTCGGACCTCAGTTGCGCCGCTCCCGTGTTCTTAGAGAAAGCCCCTGCTCTGCCGACCTGCAAGACTAAAGACTCCTGTGAGTTAGCAAGGTGCTGCCATGCTCTTCAAGGGCGGGCCGACCATCTTCAAGACAACCTTGGCATCCTCGCCGTCCACGAGCTCGAAAATTTCGATGGATCCACCACTGACGCTCAGGAAAGGCCGGATGCCGTTCAAGACCTGGACAGGATCACAAAAAGATACGAAAAGATATACCCCAAGGCTGCAGGGCGCATACTCTGACGCTGCCTCCTCAATCCCAGACTCGGTGAGGGGCTCCTGCTCTTGGTCTATGGCGACAACCTCTGAAATCTCAGGGATGCGCTCCTTAAGCGTCTTCCTTGGTGACCCATGGCGCGGCATAGCGACGGAGGGACAACTGAAGCTCCATTGCGGCTAGGAGTCTCTATTCCCATCTTCATTGTCACGGAAGACGCCGAACAGCTGCTGCATGCCCCAATCAGCTCCAGCTTCACCACCGAGTCCTGGATGTCGGAGATCTTGCAATCTCCGCCATCGCTCTTGAGGTAAGGGCGAAGCTCGTCCAACACCTTCACAAGAGCCAGGACGGGACTCGCGTTCTTCGCAAAGAAACTGCCAAGTGGGAGCATGGAGAGGAATCATTGCCCACCCAGTCATCCCCAGGACATGGCCCGAAAAGCACAAGGCTCCGCAGTAATAATACGGATACATCATTCGAGACAGAGCAGGAATCGCAAAACGTTCCAAACCCAAGCCATAACCGGGCCTCTTGGACATTGTCCCACGTCAGCGACAGCTTCGGCTTCTCCTTCTTCTCCGATTCCCTCGGCTTCTCGGCCTCCTTCTCCTTTGCCTGCCGAGAAAAACCTCCCTCAACGATTTGCGCCACCGCTTGCAAGGCCAAAAGCTCGAGCCTCGGCTTCGTTGAAGGGCCTCGGTGCTCGCAAGCAAGCTCCTATCATCCTATCGTAGATTCCAGAAGTGTCTTTCAAGTCGAAGCCCCGTTCTGCGAGCCAGCGGCGACACCACCGTTGCCCGACGCACGATTCGGCGAAGATGACCACCTCGGTCCGCACTGTAGGATGCTCTCTGCAAGAGGCGGAAGACGCAGGAAGAAGACGCGCGAACAGAGACAATCACGCAGACACACAATGACAATGACACACGTACACACACACACACAGAGAGACACGCACATAAAGACGCATCGAAGCATGGAAAAGAGCATATCCACAGACACGGACACACGGACACACAGACAGACAGATCGATTGGGAACAGAAAAGACCCGGATACGAACTCGGAGTGGGCCGGGCCTCGCCGGCAGTTCACCGCCACTGCGATCGCCGGCAGGGCGAGGCCTCGAGCCCGAACCCCAGCCCCCCAAAGCCCTCGCCATGGTTTTTTGGATGCCGCAGCTCGGCAGCGCACTGAAGTCACGGTCCCGCGGCTCAATCCGCGCTGCGAGAGCAGGGGTCGGCGCGGCTGAAAGCACGCGCGCCGGGCGCTGTCCCGTCCGTGCAGCGGGGGCAAGCATGGCTCGAAAACCACGCGAGAACTCGATGCTTTCGGCCTCCCCGAACTTCAGGTGATGTATAGCTTTCTGTACTTGAGGACTCGAGGACATCATGTGTAACATCAAGCATCAGTTCTAGGGAGTTGGCTCTGAAACCACAGAGATTGCGCACAGTATGCAAGCATCTTGCCGCCATGAATACTCCGAGATGCCAGCGCGACATGTCTCAGCTTGTGCTCGCTTCTTTGTTCGGCTCCATACTCCCTGAGATGCAAAGGCTGTCTTTGCCAAAAAAGCATTGACCTAGCAGACTCCCCCCACCACGAGCGGTCTCGAGTGAGCACCACCATCGGCGCCACTCCCTGGCCTCCTGCCCCGGCGGGGTTTCGTGCTTTTCCCAGCTCCATTTTCTCTATAGCCTCTACTTGTATAGTTTAGGGTTAATACCTCTCTCTCTGCGACACCGCCGCTCGTCATCCCTCAGCCAGGACTTGGCTTGGAGAGCCAGGACTGGGCAGGAGAGGCTTGGTTCCCGCAAGGTAGAGCCCCTGAAAAGATGTGCAAAATGTGGGTTGCTAGACTGAGTCTTAGAGAGTTTCCAGCGTTTAAAGGTCATGAGCAGTCAGGAACATCAACTTCGACTGGCCCTGGGGCATCCCAAACCGAAGCGATCACGACACTGTGCTTCCAGCCGGGGGACTACCTAAATTTGCCCTAAGCTTGTGCGAAGGTCCTCAGGACATCGCGCAGGTGAAACGACGGTTTCTCATATATCTGCAACGCTTTTTCGAGAAGCCACGTTTAGTCACTCTTTATCAACATTTGAGAAACGGCCCGACGACAGCGGGCGCTCAAAGCCAGGAGGGCTTGTCGGGGGATGTGTGAAGTTTTTTGCGAAGTATCGACTAAAGCAGTACCGCGTGGGTCTTACTGCCCTCGCTTTGTTGGCTGATGCATCCCGTAAGCCAACACCTGAACTCTGAGCACACCGAGACGCTACGATTCGCGTCGTAGTAGAAAAGCTTGCGTAGGTAAGCACGACGAGCTCTTGCCCTTGCCCCGCGATTGGCAAGTTCGACAAAACGGAAGCCCAGTTTAGCGGGTTCCATGCAGTTCGGGTCCAGTTGACAGCGTGCTCTTTGAGCAGTCGCCGCCACTTCTACCAGCCGTAGCCAGCCTCGGAATGCGAACGCGGGTCAGCCCTCTGCACCAGCACATTACCGAGCAACCACTACCAGTAGGAAGCTGGACGTTCATGCATGTGCGCACCTCTGCTTGTCCAACAGCATGTCGCGTGCAGCTCTGACCGCTCAGCCCCCGACCACAATCCCCGGCGACACACACAGGGCCATGGCCGTGCGAGGCGTCGGTAGTTGTGGGAAGGCCTCAGTATGCTGCAAGGTTCACAATGCTCAAGCCAAGCTGGCTTGTTACTGCCCATGGCAGTCCGGAGTGTGACCTTCTCTAGTGTTGAGCTGTTGCCTGAGAGTGCGTGTGCGGAGACATGCGCGTAAATTTGGTCCTGTGGCTTCTCTCTACTCTCTCCTCACTCTCTTTGAAGGCCGTCGGTCCATGTCTCAGCGACTCCACACGTGCTGGCTGCCGGGAGGTGACATCGTTTGATTCTGTCTTCGGCTGACTGTGGCAACTGACCCTGCGCGGGACGGTAGCTACAGCTACGGTTTGTGTTCCTTCTGCGGGCCTATGGGAGGAAGCTATGATTCTCAGCACGAAATTGTGACACTCAACATTGCTCGCGGAAACAGCATATTAATCGGAGATAGGTTTCAAGCGGTGTAGTGTACTTCAAGGCTCCGCTTGAGATAGTGCAGACCAGTCAAAAAAATCTCCGTCTCTGCTTCTTCTCTAGCAGACTGGAGGCACGGCAGTACACGCCCCTCTGCAACTGTTCTGGTCGGCGTGAAATGCGGAATTCCGGGAATGGCACCTTGCTTGCTTGCTGGGGGTCTGGGTGCAAGCACCCTGGCCTGTAGGCCAACCCTTTCAAGGTGCGCGTTGGTTTGTCCTCCAGGCCCCTTTTCCCCGCCCGACAACACCCCCCCGGGAATGGCACCCCTTTCTCTCTCTCTCTCTCTCTCTCTCTCTCTCTCTCTTCTCTTCGACACAGTCAGAAGGAAGGCACGTAAGCACCCTCCCCCGCGC